TAATACTAATTCGAGATCTTGAAGAAATGTTGAGCTATTTCAGGTTTTCACATACAAATATTTTAAATTTAAAATTTCTCTAGAATTAAAAAAAAAAATATTCAAACCATAATTTAGAAATACCAAGTGTATTTAAAATTCGATTCGACCCAAATTTACATCATTATCACAATTAACTTGGCAAATGATGCATTCAATACGACTATCAAAATAAATCTATGACGTTGCATTATAATCAAATCGGAAAACAACTTGACCATGAATTCGTCAATGCATTGTCACGATCACTAAGAATATCGATCGAGGCAGAATCATATAAATTAGTATAAATAACACCCACCCTAAAGAATAGAATGTTTAATTGAATTTTAATCGAATTGTTGTACAGTTCAACGTCTGTCTGCAACTAGCGATTTATAGTAAAATAACAAACAAATAAAAAGAAGTCATATCCTTAGGCCAAAACCTTTCGGTCGCGATCAGAACTCTACTGTTGAATTAACGTTAGTGTATATTTCCACAAACAAATATTGGACGTGATCCTTAAAATATAAATACAGGTTTGTAGATTATAATTGAAAATATTGCATAATGTTTTTGGGTTTTGAATGAGTGAAATTTTATATTTTTAGAATGATTTATTCAAAAATTAGAACTCCCAAATATACGTCGGATGCATTTGATAATGTTGAATATCAAATGCGTATCACGTATACGGTGGAAACTGATCGTCGTATCATGAGTTTCGTAGACTCAATGTGGGGCATAGAGGTTTCTGGTGGTGTTGATCAATTTGAACCCTTGACAATTATAAATCTAACACCCACTGGTTTGGCTCGTCGTGCTGGTATGCGTATCGGTGATGAGATAACCCAAATCAATGATACTCCCGCTCTGGAACTGACATTCAATGAAGCTTTGGAATTATTTAGAAAATCTGGTCGTTATGTTCGTGTCTATGTAAGAGGGTAAGTCTTAATAAAATAGGTTTATATTTTTTAAGAATGGAGTATACAATTTATGAGTATTTTAGTGATGTCGATGATGAGGGTGAAGAAGATTGGACTTGTGACTTTTGGTTTAGACCCCGTAGACCCTGGAGGCGTGACTTTAAGCCTATACAATGGGAATTCCCTTGGAATGATCGTCGCAAGCCAATTTATCGTGAATCTAATTGTTTCATGGTACCCTCACGCATGGAGGAGAAAATCCGTCAACGTCGTGCCGCTACTTCAGCTGTCAAGAAGAAGGAAGAGGCTCCTCCACATACTAGATCTTTGACACCTACTCCACGTCCCAAAAATCAACCCGGAGAGAATCTGTTGAATACAGTTTTAAAACCACGTGGACCACCACCCAGAGAATTGAACTGAGCTACAAGAAGAGAAAAATTCATTACCTACTTACTCTACACCTTTATCCAATACGTGAGAGTGAGAAAGATGAGTTTAATTAATGTTGCTTGACCATCTCTAAAATATACAAGTGCAAATGAAAAATTCACCATGTCGAAGTGTTTGATTTTTCATTTCATTTGTAGCTCCACACCCCAATGATATCGAATGTGATCAAGGTCAATGTTACAGAGGAAACTGAAAAACAAAGAAGAAACGTAACATTCGATATCATTTCAACGAAAGGAATATTGGTATTGAACTAATTAGATAAAAATGCTGTCAGATTTACAAATTTAAGAATGTCTTCTTTTAATTCTAAATTTAAGTATCTTGCAAAGACTTACATACATATAATGACCATCGCTTTGTGCGAAGGAAATGTAAAATTGACTTTTAAATAAATTGTAGAATTTTACTAATTGTCACTTAAAACTCAAAATAAATTGGTTGTTGAATTTAAAATTACGAATAGAAGTCCATTTTAGGTTACTACTTAAGGATCTATAGACTATTTCAGTAGTAAAAGTGTGGAATAAAAAAGCTAATTTTAGAGTGTTTCCTTTCGGATTACACTATTAATTATGGGTTTGCGTTTTTTATCCATCAAAAATGATGGGGGGTATATTGGTTTTGTTATTCTGTTTGTAACACATCGAAATATTGGTCATAGACCCACAAAAGTACATATATTCTGGGTACTTATTAAATTCTAAGACGATCTAGCCATGTCCGCCCATCTGTCTGTCTGTTGAAAGCAGGGTTGAAATTTTCCACAAATATTCTCTATAGATAATGTTTGTTTGGTATTGAAAATGGGCAATATCGGTCCACATTTTCGGATAGCTCCCATACAAGTGAACCACGGGCATATCTGTTTTAAAAATAAGAGTATAGCAATGAAATTCGACATAAATAAGTTTCATATGAGCCAAAATCTCCCTACCAACTTTTATGAGGATAGGTCCATAATTGACCCTACCCCCCATATAAGGACCCCTTTGGAAAATCAGCGGTCATTACTGGCTTAAAAATAAGAAATTTTATATGGATCGGTCCATAATTGACCCTACTCCCCATATAAGGTCCTCTTCAAAAAATTACTTTAATGCTCATTACTGGTTTAAAAATACGAGTATAGCGATTAAATTCGACACTCATAGTTCCATGCGTGCCGAAATCTGTCCACCATGTTTTATATGAACCAAAATCGGTCTAAAAAATTATGAAAAATTTTATAAAAACCTACCTCTCATATAAGGTCCTCTTCAGTAAATTTGATGAGTAATATTTATCACACTGAGTTTTATAGGAGAGCATTCCTTTTACGACATACGGTTTGATGGTGGGTATAATAGATTCGACATGTTCGAATATAGAACTCTTACTTGTTCTATTTCAATTTCTTTATTCCAATAACCCAGCCTATATAGGCCATAATCGGTTATTAATTTCTACTTATGCATTTTTTCGATTTCTTCATATTAAAATCAAATTGTGGAGAATATGAGCGATCTTAGAACGTGCTCTTCTCGATTAAAGACTTAAAAAATATATTAATGATTTAATATATTTGAAAAAAAAATACCAGCCAATTAGAGCATATTATCCAATTTTTTTTCAAAAGTAAGTTTTTTGATCACTGATCTCTTTGATCTTAATCTTATTTATAAAGTATTATTTTATTTAAAATAACAAATGCATTTTTTTTTAATATTTGCAATTAATGATTATTTAATTCATACTTCTAAATTAGCACAAACATTTAAATGAAGCTCATTGAGTTAAAATTCGAGAATATTGATACAAATATTCAAGAACTTTTGAATTTGTTGCCATCAAACAAAAACGTCTTTTAGTTAATACCACTTTATACAAAAAATAAGATTGATAAGGTTTCTTTAACAATAAAAGCAACTTATAAATAATTAGTTTGTTTTGAGAAAATACGGAGAGAAATAAAACCAAAGAAAGAGCAGTGTTGCCAAATAATTAAAAAAAAAAAAAACGGTAAAATTATAAAAGTTTGGGATTTCTCTCATCTTACTTTAATCACAAACAATTAAGAAAATAATTAAATATTTAGAATTAAAAAAAAAAATCAAAATTTATTAAAATGCCATTAAATCTGCCCAGCTGATCATTGTTTATAATTTTTTGTATATGGGCTCAAAACTCAAGATTATCAAACACCATATAAAAACAAATTTGAAGATCGTACGTGCTTTTTTAGTTGCATGTACCTGATATATGTATTTACCTTGATCTGGCAGCTATAATTGAAATGATCACATTTACACTCTCAGTGATTTTTTTCAGAGAGAACGAGTACAGTAAATTACTCACTCACATTTTGTCTTGGGGGTCTCTGTTTAGGTATCCATTTTACTACAACACTTGTTGCTTGATCAGTGCGTTACTTTAAGCAGTTGCAATAAGACGTGAATATTTTTGAGATACTTTTCAAGTTCTAAAACATAGAAAAAGGTTAGTAGAGTGCATTTTGATTCGATTGTTTGTTTGATGATCTAAGCAAATAGGCAAAGAATATCAAAAGTACAGTGACATTTCTTATTGTTGTATATTTCCAATTTGGTGACGTAAATTAGAAAAAAAGAAAAATTAAAAGAATCTTTAAGATTAACAAGTGGGTGCAACTTGGTAAGATATGTATATACATAAATATGAACACAACAAACTAGTTTTTCCCCACAACCAAAAAGAGGACAAGAAAAAAATGCATTTTCCGAAGAAATGCTTGAATACTAAAGATCATGACATTTAGTTTGTTTTCCCTCTCTAAATAAATGTTTTTTAAATGTGAACAATATACAAATTGTATTAAAATTTTCCTATACTAAGCAGAAATTTTCTGTTGTTTACTATTTAAATAAAGTGCTAATTGTTTTATTATATCTCTTCATACCTACATATGTATGTATGTAGGCTACACATTAAGATCTATTAAACAAAAGCAATTAAATATTTTGATAACATCATTGTCAAAGAATTTTGTTTTTAATTACCGCCCTCTTGATTTGTGTCATCTCTTTAATTTTCTTAAAAAATATTTAATAACTTGAAATGTGTAATGTGTCTTCATTCAATTTCTTATCTTTTCAATTTCCAAATATTCTTTATTGATAAAATTGAAAATAGAAAAACTCAATACCTATGTAATGTGTCATAATGATCATTGAAAGTATGACACATGCATTTTGAAAATATTTTACTAATATTGGCTGACACCTTATCTTGCGTACATATTTGGTTTAATTAACACAACTTTCCAAATAGTTGCCATTTTTGGCAAGTAGTTGTTATTGTTATTTAAAAATATTTGAAATTTCAAATACAAATAATTGTTTTTGTTTGCATTTATGTACATACATATGTATTTTTAAAAAATTTTAGAGCGATTTTCAATTTTGAAGTCACGCACTAAAAATAACATTCTCATAAAAATTTAAATTTTTTTCCATTTAATATCAACAACAAACATTGCATTCAAAAAAACTACATTTATTTGTTTGTGTTATTAAACTACAAGATATTTTTTAAACACTGTTGCCAACTTTTTTCCCAAAAATATCGCTAAAGTCGACTGAAAAATAGCTAGAAAATAGTTAAATTCAATACATTTTGAAAAATTTAGCGATAAATCGTCAAAATAATATTTATTATATGATTCTGAAAAGAAATATCTAAAAAAACTAGCTAATTTTTTCAGATTTTTTATATTATTCTAAAAAGTCAGCGATTTATCGCTAAAATCTATATACATACGCAGGAATGGGATAGTGATACAAACACATCTTATAACAAACACATAAGAGAATCTTTTTTTATGTTAAATATTTTCACTTTGGGTTAGGAAAAATGTCAAGTTGAGGTTAATTTCGATATGCGACCCTATACAGATTGCTTTAGAAATGTTGTAAAGATAAATTGAATTTCGAAATGCTGGCCTTTATGGATCGATCCTTTATTTTCGGCATAAGGGTATTATTTATTTTTCCATTACAATACAATTACAAATTATATTCTAACCTAATTTACCGAGCACGGTGACGATAACCATACGACCGTTGTAGTGTAGCAGACCAGGATCTCTGCTGGGAATCGAACCCACAACCCCCAGACTGACAGGCTAGCACACTACCAACTAGCCTACCGGGGCACCCAAGATTATTATTATACACTCCTTTTGTGGGAAGTTTATCTGCAATATCGATATGCGGCCCTAATATGCCTTAGAAATGTTGTAAATTTTTAGGACTTTATGGATCGATCTTATCGTCACTTATTTCCAATGTTCACTAATTTTTAGAATTATGGTAAATTTTATTATCATATCACTCATTTACTAAAAGACTAGAATAATTAAATATTCGTTTTTTAATTGAGTACAACAAAATATACCCCTTTGAAAGTTTTTCGTATAACTTTACCTGTACGCACAAATCGTCAATATCGTCATTCGTAGCAACTTTTAAGCGATATTATCAAAATATAAATGAATAAAAAATGCCTTAAAATCTAAAGAAAAATCGCTAGATTTCCCGCTAATAGCTAAATCATATTTTTCCCCGCAAAATGGGATTAAAAATCACTAAATTTGACGAGAAAATAGCTAAATTGGCAACAGTGTTTTTAAATAACAAAATATACACACATAGATATAAGATAGCTTCTCTTTTTGTATTTTTATTTTCTTCTCTCTGTCTCTCACAAAATGAGAGAAATATTTAGTTTATTTTCAGAGATGGGAAATTCAGTACTATTGTACTTTTTCAGCACTTTTTGATATCGATAGTTTTATAGTTTATAGTCTACTCCATAGACTGCTTAATAGACTATTGAATAATCTAGTCCATACACTAGTTTATAGACTAGTGCATATTCTAGTCAATTGACTTATCCATAGATGTATACTTATTCTTAGGATATTCTATTAATGCAATATTCTCGTTCATAGACTGAACTGTACCAAAGACAAAGGGCATTAGTCTAGTCAATAGACTACTCATAGTCTAGAATAGTTAAGGGAAAAGGTCAATAAGCTAGTTAGTATACTAGTTTATAGTCAATGGAAAAGTCCATACATTAGTCATTATACTCGTCCATAGACTATTTAATAGACTAGAATAAACCACCGACAAAAGCCATTATACTGTACAATGAACTAGTCCATAATCTAGTAAAAAATGTTAAAACTTCATATTACAAAGTTGCTCCATTTCGGAATTTTTAAATACTTTAAACGTCTGGTAAAATTGCACCTTTAATAACTAAAAAAGTACTATTATTGTTAAAATTTAGTACTATTTTAAAATTTCCATGCCTGTTTGATTTTATTATTGTTAGTGTTGTCAATTAAGACATTTATCAACAAAGTTTTTCAAGAATTTCTTCTTAATTAAAACTTTCATATGTACACATATATTTTTTGCCAATTGATGTTTAAATATTTTTCTTATCTACGTTGTAAATTTAACATTTTTAAATTACAAAAATTTCCTCTGAACATTTCTACATTACTCATACCTTTTATCGCATATGCAGTTAAAATAAGTACTAAACAAATATGCATAGGTTGACAACACTTAATACCGGTTCCTCCAAATAACAACAACAATAATGGCGGCAGAAAAAAATTGTTATTGTTTACATTTTCTTATCTTGTTTTGATGGTTTTTTCTTCATTTATTTCAGCAAATATGGGCAATCCAATCTGGTTTATATTTTGGTTTTTGGTATTTTGGTTCATATCGTTCTTTTTAGCTTTCTTCTGTGCTGGCATCTACATTATTTTGCTTATATTTGTAGTTTGTTTCCCCGGTTTATCGGTGAGTCTAAAGAATGATCGATATTGTTATTTGATCAAAATATATAATTATTATGTGCAATTTCTCTTTTGCAGTCTATTACCGATATTCTACTGCAGTGTATACAATTCCCTCAGTATTGTGCCAAAGCTATGATGGAGTGCAAATCGCCTTTCTAAATTTTTAAATCTTGAAGTCTACCAAATTTCTGTTAAATTGAAAAAATGCATTTTGTTTTATTTAATTTTTTTCTTAAGTTAGTTAATTAGTTATTTTGTAACACATTAATTTTTTTTATATATATTATAAAATAAGATTAAAAACAATTTTTTTTGACTAATAAAAGTTAAGCAATTTTTTAACAAAATTTAAAATCTGTGATCATTTTTGGTTTCTATTTTATGTATGAAATCAAATCCTTTTAAAGGTTATACTAAATTTCTTGTTTGAAAGGAAAGTTACGATCAATTTTACTCGATTACATACATATGTATATGGTAATTCGGACCATGATTTTATTGTGATCACACGCAGAGAAAAAACATGGTTCAAAATGGTTACTGCAACTATCCCATGTTTACTGTAACAATATATTGTTTTCAAAAACATATAATTGTTATTTTAATTAGCTTTTAACAATATTTAAGTTACTGTAAACATTTTCATGTTCCAGGCAATTATAAATTTGAGTATAATTCACTGAATCATAATTATTTTTACAACAACTAAATACTGATAACAAGGAAAACATATTCTGTTATTAACAACCATTTAAACTTGCAAATAACCATAATATGTTATGTTATATAACCATTGTATGTTATGTTGTTATAAAAAAACCATTATATGTTATGTTGTTATATGTCTGCTGATACATCAACAAATTAATACAACAACAAAACAACATTTGCTCACAGAGATTACTTTTTCGTGTGTGTTTTTTACGCGACAATAAAATGAATAATTCTCATTTGGTTTATAGCATTAAATGTATAAGTATTTCAGTTTGCATAGAATAATTTAGTTATGTTTTTGTGAATCAAATTGAAATTTGCGAAGTGTGCTAAGTATTGTAAGTATGTAATTTTATTTATATACATATATATATTTTTTTTTTACTTTTTTTAGAAACTGTAATTTTACTGCTTCAGTAAAATTTATTTTGATTTCGATACATAGTTTTGAACGAAATTTTGAACACATTGGATCATAATATGATCATGTATAACAATATTATTATGATAAATAGAAAAATATTATGATGAAATATTTTAACGGTATTTAATCATAATATGATATTTTAAATTTGTTACAATAACGATATTATGTTAAGACTACAATCATAATTTTAACCATAATATGTTGCTCTTGGAACATGGTTACCACAACCATGTTTTTTCTCTGCGTGCGTGTAACAATTTTGGACTTCAGTTGTTATAATTTAACAATTGTATGAATTTTAAGTATTTAATACATATTGGAGGTGCCACACCCACTACTGCTAGTCGACCCATTTTTTCCTTGATTTTAGCCTTTTAGCTTTTATAGTTTCCCAGATGTACGAGATTTGGTAACTTGTAGCAGTTCTAGTTTCCGAGATATTCTAATTTAAATATTTATTTTATATAAGAGGTGCCTCGACCACTATATACTGAATGGTTATGGGGATGTCAAAGATTACTACATTTCCAAGATATACGAATTTTATTATTTCGATCGTATGGGAGGTGCCACGCCCATTATTTATTAAATTTTTGGCTACAAAGGTTTACTTACAAATAAGTAAAATAACTTTAAAATCGATGATCACAAAAAAATGCTCCATAGTGTAAAGATATTTTACGTTGTAAAATGTACAGAAAAAAGGACTATTTGCATCCGTGTTGCATAAAATAAAACACCACTTGCCAATACACCCTATTATTTACCTTACTTTATTTATGTTAATTTAAATTAAGCGAAAAGCTTTTAACAAAAGCTAAAAACAGATGAAATTAAATCATAACAAAAGGATGTTTAAAAGTTATCAAAATCAAGAAAAAAGTTCCGGCCGGTGGTCAAAGCAAAATATTTCAAAAACAGCTTTTCACAACAAAAAGAGAAAAGAACAAACAGAACTGTTATACTAAAACTAAAGCTTTTATATTACATGTAATATAGTATATAAGTATGTGTGTCAGTAATGATTTAGGTGAGTGTTGTTTTTTTCTGGTACCTGCCTTCTTGCTCAGCACTGTCTGATGGTTAGAGGAGACCTATTAAAAAAACCTAAAGAAAGTCTAACGAAAATAAAATCAAAATTTCTATCCCGGGTGTTATTCTAACGTGAGTTTTCTCTCGTAGCGGTCAGTTCATGTTTCTGGTTAAACGGAAGAAAATAATACTTAAAGTGAAACAATAATTTAATAATTGAGTAAAATTGAAAGAAAATTTCATAAGAAATTAAAGAAAAATAGTGTGTTCGCAGAAAAATATAAAAATTGTTAAATGTAAATAAAAAAAATATATAAAAAAACTATAAATAAGATAATAGCAAATATTTAATAAAAAACACTCAGTAATAAGAATTAATACATTTTTCGTTTATACACATACTTACAAGAAATGTGTAGCATATTTTAGGGCTCATATAATATTTATAATCATTTCAGTTTCAGTTTTATTTCATAGTAGTTTTAATTGTATTTAAATGTGTTTGTATAAGCGTGTGAACGTGAGTGTGTATGTGTAAAACATATGGCAAAAATATTTAGATTCCTTTACAGTTACTTTTCAATACCGTACATTTAATAATAATTAATCACTTTCGTGCAGCAGAGGAGCCCAAGGAGGTGGAGCTGTTGTAGCACAACAACACCAAGAAGTACAAGTAGAAAAAGAGGATACTGTCTTATGAAAATTAAAACAGCTGCAGCACAACAATTACTTACTTTGTATATGTATTCATTCCAATTTCGGGGGTTTTGTTATTGTTATTTTCATTGTATTTTTTTTTTTGCTCCATGAGCAGCTTGGTTGGGTACGTTTTTCTTTTTTTCAGGTTTCTATTGCTGCTGCTTCTGTTGTTGTTGTTGTCGTTGTGCCTTTGCGTGTGTGATCGATATTTTTATTTATTTGTATAATTTTCTTTTTTCGTTTTATTATTTTTATGTATGTGTGTTTTGAATATCTTGTTGCTGTTGTTGTTTTTATTATTTTGGTTTTTTGTTATTGTATCAAATTGTTTACTCTTTGTTTTCCTTTTTTATTCGCTCACTCACTCTCATATATTTTTTTTATGAGGAAAATTCGTGTTTTTTTTTCTTCTTTTTTATTGGTAGTATTTTCCGTGTCTCTTGTTAAGGTATCTCTTTTTGGTTAGAGAAAATCCTGATATTTTCTCCGTGTATTTTTATATGCTTGTGTGTGAGTGCTATCATATGAAAAACACATACATATTGTGTATTAGTTGTGAGAACCGATTAACTTGCAAATTGTTTCAATAAAAAATTTTAAATGGTACTATTCGAAATTTGTTAAAATTTCGATCAAAATTATTAAATGTTTTGTATATATTATTTATGCATTTATTTACATATCTGCATTTGTAAAATTTTTAGTAATTTTCAAAACATCATAAAATACATTTGTCATACGCCATGGTGTATTTTCATGTTAAACATTAACCCCCTTATTCATAAACAACATTTTAATTTATAAAAGTTTTATACGAAATTTGATTTATAAATCATTTATAAATTAAAATTGCGTTTATAAATAAGGGGGTAAAAAAGTAAAATGTAGTTCAACTTTAACTTTAAATTTCTCAACAACTGCTGAACCGATTTTAATAAAATTAAAACAGGAGAAATTTTCAGAAAGATATCTCACTAAATAAAATTCTAAAATACCTCTAACGGTTCAAAAAATACTGACTTTTAGACGATGAAAAACTATTCTTAACTAAGTAGATAATCTCGGTTTAGGAATCTGATAACAATGTCAAACATTTTGTTAATAAGCTTACATATGTATGTGTGCCAGGCATGGAAAATTCAGTACTTTAGTACTTTTATAAGTACATTTTATGATCGAAAAATACCGCGGTACCCCCTCGACATCTTCGGTACTATTTCTAACTTATAAACTTTTGATAAATAGTCCACATAGTAGTCCATGGTTCACTAGTCTAGTCTATAGTCTAGTCTATAGTCTAGTCTATCGTCTAGTCTATCGTCTAGTCTATCGTCTAGTCTATAGTCTAGTCTATAGTCTAGTCTATAGTCTAGTCTATAGTCTAGTCTATAGTCTAGTCTATAGTCTAGTCTATAGTCTAGTCTATAGTCTAGTCTATAGTCTAGTCTATAGTCTAGTCTATAGTCTAGTCTATAGTCTAGTCTATAGTCTAGTCTATAGTCTAGTCTATAGTCTAGTCTATAGTCTAGTCTGTAGTCTAGTCTATAGTCTAGTCTATAGTCTAGTCTATAGTCTAGTCTATAGTCTAGTCTATAGTCTAGTCTATAGTCTAGTCTATAGTCTAGTCTATAGTCTAGTCTATAGTCTAGTCTATAGTCTAGTCTATAGTCTAGTCTATAGTCTAGTCTATAGTCTAGTCTATAGTCTAGTCTATAGTCTAGTCTATAGTCTAGTCTATAGTCTAGTCTATAGTCTAGTCTATAGTCTAGTCTATAGTCTAGTATAGTCTAGTCTATAGTCTAGTCTATAGTCTAGTCTATAGTCTAGTCTATAGTCTAGTCTATAGTCTAGTCTATAGTCTAGTCTATAGTCTAGTCTATAGTCTAGTCTATAGTCTAGTCTATAGTCTAGTCTATAGTCTAGTCTATAGTCTAGTCTATAGTCTAGTCTATAGTCTAGTCTATAATCTAGTCTAGTATAGTCTATAGTCTAGTCTATAGTCTAGTCTATAGTCTAGTCTATAGTCTAGTCTATAGTCTAGTCTATAGTCTAGTCTATAGTCTAGTCTATAGTCTAGTCTATAGTCTAGTCTATAGTCTAGTCTATAGTCTAGCCTATAGTCTAGTCTATAGTCTAGTCTATAGTCTAGTCTATAGTCTAGTCTATAGCCTAGTCTATAGTCTAGCCTATAGTCTAGTCTATAGTCTAGTCTATAGTCTAGTCTATAGTCTAGCCTATAGTCTAGTCTATAGTCTAGTCTATAGTCTAGTCTATAGTCTAGTCTATAGTCTAGTCTATAGTCTAGTCTATAGTCTAGTCTATAGTCTAGTCTATAGTCTAGTCTATAGTCTAGTCTATAGTCTAGTCTATAGTCTAGTCTATAGTCTAGTCTATATTCTAGTCTATAGTCTAGTCTATAGTCTAGTCTATAGTCTAGTCTATAGTCTAGTCTATAGTCTAGTAGTCTAGTCT